GCGGTGCTGTGCAGCCTGCTGTGGGTGACCCTGCTTGGGCAGGGGGTTGGGCTGGGTGACCCACAGAGGGCCCTGCCAACCCCCACCATTCTGTGATTCTGTGATTCTGTGAAGGGGGGTGATGCCACATGCAAGCTCTCCTGGCAGGCTGGTTTGTCCATTGACCCCCTCTTCTACCTGCTACCTGAGCTGAAAGTCAGTGCTAACAGAAATTATTCTGAGTATTTTCAGCTTTACCAACGCCTCTGGCAATGCTTCTTTGCTTCGTAGGAATTTCGCGCCAAGCTGGGAAGCGGCTGGCAGCACCAGCCCTGCTGCTGGGATCAGAGCTGTGGGGCTGGGGCCAAGGGTCCCTCATGGTGGCAGATGCTGAGACCACCCCTGGTCTGGAGGGCTCAGGCCTGGGTGCTCCATCCCACCCTTCCCCGAGCCAGTGCCAGGAAGAGCTGAGCATCCAGAAAACCCAGAATAAAAGGGAGAACTGCAGCCAGTGGAATATACAATTTGTTCCGTAATCAGTTTACTTTGTTTTTTTTAATTCATGAGAAGTAAATCCTGCAGTGAGTTAGAAAGGCCATTATTGCCTCCTCTCGCTAAACAAACACACGCTGAATCCTCTCATTATCCATCTTGACTTCTGTACACCAGAATAAACACAAATCAGAAGCTCTGCCGGAGAAAGACAAGACTGACGCATGAGTGGCACAGACTCTCGGGGAATATTCTGCGTATGAAGTATCATCGCACACAATTTACAAAGACATTTTATGCTTCTCCAACACTTTTTAGCCTCAAAGACTCCAAGGTCTATAAATACCTTAAAGACCCGCGATACGCATCTGTCTCTGGAGTAGAACAGAGCACTCACGGTTATTATTTGTGTTTAACAGAGCAGTTTTAGTAGGTCAAATCTTCTTGCTCTTATTTGGAAAAAATTGCCGAGAAATGGCAGGCATTTCTTTTGACTACGGTATTTAGCCCAAATGGAAGAAAATATAATGTTTTCATACTTTTCATCTTAAAAAAACCCCTCTGCAAATGTTAGCTTGCTACACACATTTTGAAGTTATAAATATAAACGAATCTGGCACATGAATGTAAACCCCTGGCTCACAGTTGTGTTGCCAATGATATAAATTACAGTCCCCATCACTCATGGAAACACATTATTCTTCATTTATGCTGCTGGAAAGGAGAGCAGACCTTGCTCCATAGAAACCAAACAGGGGCAGAAAGGCAACTGAAGCGAGACTTTGCTCACCGGTAAATCCCCACCCAGCGCCCTTTTGTCCCGAGCTCTGTGCCTCACGTGCGTGCTGCAGCCCGGCTCTTCGCCGTCCATTGACGAAGTTCTGTGACATTTACAGCCGTGCAAAGCACAGAAGGCTGGAGAGCCTATTTCTTGCCCATAAACATCCCTTCGTGTACCAGAGAAGAGGAGAGGAGCAATTCCCTCGAACACGGCCGGGTTACAGGTGGAAAGATCTCCCTCCAGCTCCCCGCAGTGCTCCTGTTCCTGCAGAGCACGTCCCTGCGTGGCTCATTCCCCCTCCAAACACCCAGCACTGGAGGCTGCCACCCCATCAATCTCCTGATGAAAAAAGCCTTGCCAGTAAGCTCAAACCAATCTTCTCCGTTTGAGATGAGTTAATCTTGCTGCAACTGGGCTTTTTGTTATTACTGGTACTTGTTCAGAGGCACACATCTCTCCAGAAGCTGGCTGTGACCCAGTGAAGTCATTTGCCGACTTCGGTGGGCTCAGATGCAGCTCTGAGTTATCTCCTGCACATCGTAGTTCCCACCCAGGTACTCAGCGGTGGGGATTGTAAGGACAGATATGAGGAATCATAGAATCATAGAAAGTTTTGGGTCGGAAGGGACCCCCAGAGCTCATCTAGTCCAACCCCCCCGCAGCGAGCAGGGACACCGCTAACGAGATCAGGGTGCTCAGAGCCCTGTCCAACCTGGTCTTGAATGTGTCCAGGGATGGGGCCTCCACTGCCTCTCTGGGCAACCCGTTCCAGTGTTTCACCACCCTCATTGTGAAGAATTTCTTCCTTATATCCAGCCTAAACCTACCCTGTTTTAGTTTACAACCATTACCCCTCGTCCTGTCACTGCTGTCTCTACTAAAGGAAGGTTTGGTTTTGTTTTCTTCCCTTCAGGGTGCACCAAGCAGCGGTCCGCATCCACGTGCTGCTCTGAAAGCCAGAAGAGCTGAGAGGAGTCAGACCAGAGTCGGAATCTGGCTCGGCACTCAGCTCTCAGAGCCCGAAACGCTCCGTTCCCCTGACTCAGCATCTCACACGTGGAAATGGCATTATCTGCAGACGGTGGACATCAAAGAGGGACGGGATCCCACATTCTGGGGAACTAATAGGATTTATTTGGTTCTAACTCTCTGCTGGGATGGGGTGTAAGAATATATTTATGCATCTACATTCCTCTCCCTCTGCATGTATACAGTTAGAGAGAGACATCTTACAGCCTCACACACACAGTCCCCCACCTCAGACACACTAAAATGGTATCATGGGCCTGATCTGAAGCTTTGTAAAGCAGGACAATCAGTGTCACGCACCCACGAGGCCTCCTCTGGGAGAAGCTCTGCTCTTGTGGGTGCAAGCCCGCCCCAGACCTTTGCCTTCCCATTGCTCTTTGGATCGCAGTGTCTAAGCAGGCGCCTTCTGCAGCCAAATGGCACCTCAGGCGAAGAAAAGGCATAAAAAATAGTTGCTCATCTAATTATTGACTCCTAGAGAACTGGCCAGCTGGAAAAAGAGGCCTCGAAAGAGCTGGGTTTACCCCAGGTCAGAAAGTTCCCACCAGACGAGGACATCCAGGGCGGCCAGCTCGGTCCTGGCAGCCAGCTCTGCCTTCCAGCTGTGAACGGTCTGTGTTCATCTACCTACGACTCCAAACCTAACGTGCCTTGCACACAAACAACACAGTTTCACTTTTGCAAATACAGCAACATTTTTTTCCGTGGTTATTGCTTACCGACGGCTTCGCAGGCCACTCGCTACCCCCCGGCAGAGCCCCGGCCCATCTTTGGACAGCGGAGCGTCTGTATCGTTATCATCAGCCCTTATCAAAGGCAACCACCAGGAAGGTGTTAGCTATCACGCAACGTCCCCTGGTAAGCAAGAACCTCTCCAAGACGAAGACGATGGAGGAAGTTCTTTGGAGATGCGACAGCCCTGTGATCCCAGCAGGAACCGGCAGAGATACCAGCTCCTCCACTCGCACGCTCTTTGTGATCTCAGGCAAGTCCTGTGCGTTCCCAGGAGAAAAATGGAGATAATGGGATTGTCCTACTTTACCAGAGACTTGTCAAACACTTCTGAGATCATGGGGTTGAAGACCTATAAAACTGAGAACTACAACTGTAAAGCCCGGGAAGACAGTGATGCTTTGAGTGTGAAGGAGAAAAACCTCCACATCGCTCGAGGGAAGGAAAAGCAAAGGTTTTTTGCTTTCTCTTGTTACCTTGAAAGAAAGTTCCTTGGCTTTCAACTGGACTGAGAAAGCTTTTGTTTGTCCCCAGGGTGGACGCTTCTCCTTCGGCATCTGTACTCTCTGCCGCCCGGGGCAGCTCTTCGAGGCTGCTGCGGGACCCCCAGCTCCCAGCGACGCTGCCCGCCGCCGCTCCTGCAGACTCCCACCACGGTACCCACGCCGCCCGCGTTTAATTAGCGTCTCTGGCCTTGTGTCCGCATGCCTCCTGGCAGCACTTGAACCACAGAGACCCACGAGCTAAGTCTCAAGTTTAGTGCTGGGTTAGCAGCAGCGTGGCAGGTTCAGTCACCTCTTGTCAGCGGCTTGGTGTTTCCCCTCTACTGACTGATCCCTCCTGCTTTTCTGTACCTCCATCACTCTCTGACAAGGGTCGCCTTGATGCTGGCTAACCTTACCCTCCTTTCTTTTTCTGGTATTTGTATATGTCCTTGCTGCTGCCTTTCCCACCTTCCAAGACACTCAGAATTTTCAAGCACCCTTTAAAACCGTCTTTTTCCTTCCAGTTTTAAGGCCTGCACCCATTTCAGATGCCACAAAGCTACGTGCAGCGGCAGTAAGGGTGAAGACCAGGACCCTACCAGCATCAGAGGCTGTACCTGCTCTGTCTCTGGTGAACATGAGGCAGACAGCAGCACGGGAATCAGACAAGACATCGGGTGCAGAAAGCCCAGACCAAGGGGTTCGTGGTAACCTTTGATCAGGGATTTGCGCTAACAAACTCCCTTCCTCCATGGAGCCCTCCACCCCAGGACAGGCAGAAGGTCCGGCAGAGCTGTTAACGGGCTGTGCCTCCCTCCAACCGTTAAAAGCAATTTTGGACTTGAGCCTCACACCTTTTATTCACTGCTAAGAGAGATGGCTCCTGGTCCACAGCGCTGGAACCCGAATCAATTCTCTTTTCCAAAGTCTGGGGCTGTTCACGTCTGTAATTCCCTGTTTAATCAGTTTACAGTCCGGCTCCTGCCATAAATTTCAGACTCCACTGCGCGAGTCCCACCAAGAGCTCCGCATCCGATTGCTGCTCGCCGTCGGGCAAACCGCCGCGCGCGTCACGCGGAGCTGCTGAAACGCGCTGCTCTTGGCGGGGTCCGTGAGAGCCCCCAGGGAAAGCACCGCAGCAGCCACCCTTCTTACCGAGCACGCCCACGTACCAGAGGTGGGGTCAGCTTTGGCCTTCAGGTCCAGACACATCGTTTTTGCTAAACTGACACTTTTTTGCTACGCTCCTTTAAAGCTTTATCTGGAGTTTTCGATGCCAGCCAAGAGAGGAGCCCCACCCCATGGAAAGTCAAAAAAAACCCCTCACATAGGCATTGGTTACCCTACCTGTGCCACAGAAAAGCAAAGAAGAAAGAGCTGAAACCCCGGTCCGGTACCTCAGAGACGTTGATCCGTCCCTCCTGAAAGGAGCACGTGGTGGGGTCGTGGGTGCAGAGGTTCCGGTACTTGCACCAGTGGCAGCGGAAAGCGCTGTTCACACACGACAGGCACCTGGGGGGAGAGAGGACGAGTTACGGAGGAGGTCATCACCTTGGGAGGTCTCGGTGGGAACAGACAGGCCGAGCCAGAAGTCCAGGCGCAGGGTCCTTCATGGGCAAATAATTTCTTTGGAGGGACGTTTTGATACAACAAAAGTAACAGACAGGCTTGGGAAGCACACGTTCAAAAGACAGTCTTTAAGCAACCTCACAACTAATTCACTAACAAAATACAAGCTGGGATTTACTGCACATCGTTGCATTGGTGTAAAATAAAGCACAATATTGCACAGCACCAAACCTGATTTTTAGTTTCTAGAAAGTGGAACACAAGGCAAGCCTGGCAAAAATTGGATCAGTTGTTTTACGAGTCAGGAATAAATCAACAGTAACACTTTTGCTTGGCCTTGGAGTGCAAAGAGTCCAGCAAGCGCTGTTGATTCATGTTGGAAGAAATTAACTGTTTATGAAATGCTTTTGAAAGAACGCAGACGTGGGGCGGCCCAGCTGTCAGCGAACTGGCTGGGTGGTTTTTATTCCACGCTAACTGGCTGCCAGCTACATGCACGGTCCCTGACAGCTGCTAATATTTGCAGTAACCACCTCCTCCACCTCTGAGGCCAACCCTCCGGGCCACGTGGCAGCGTTTTGGTGATCGTCCGCTCCCGTGCCCGTGGGGTTCAGCTCCAAGCCGTAACCTGCGGCTCCGGAGCCCGGGGTGCTGCCTGGAGCGGGCAGGGCCCGGGGCAGGGACGCGCTGGACGAGCCCAGCTCAGCGCAGACAGATGAGCATCGCCAGCGCAGCGGGAGCGTGGCCTTAGGAAATTCTGGAAAACGAGGAAAGCAGGTCTGCTGCCACGAGAATGCATGTTTCTGTAACTCGATTGTATTTTCCTCCTGATGCATTCGTAGTGACCTTAATAGCCAAGGAAGCTTATTCTAATCATGCATATGCAAATCTGGGGAATAATATCCAGTGCTGCAAGCTTATTTAATTACTCGTTTGTTTGACCCATTTCTGTCTCCATTTCGGTCTGCAGCACTTCCCACCTGCCCTGGCCCCAGGCTCTGACCTTCCCGTCCGGTGCCGGTGGAGCTCTGCTTCCCGCAGCGCCGCTGGGTCCGAGCGAGGAGGACCTCTCTGACCGCCCAGGCCAACGGCTCGGCACCTCTCACTGGGCTGTGGTCTGCTGGCTGCTGTTTGCAGCTTCGCTCTACCCCAGCTGAGCAGAGTGAGGGGCTCCCGGCAGGATCCCAAGTTCTCAGACCACTTTTGCTCCTTCATCCCGATCCAGCTTAAGGACCACTGCCTCTACTTTGTGTCGGAGAGAAAGTGCATCTCTCCACTTCATCTGCTCATTCTTAAAAGGGACCCAACAGAGAAGCCACCACCACGCTCCCTGACCCACCTGCAGCTCCCCGGGGACACAGGAATCCACGCACCTGAGCGCTGACCCACCCCAGCCCATGGGTTCACAACAGCTGGATCCAGCACAGGAGGCTTCACAGAACCAGTGAAGGAGCAGCACGTTCCTGCCCAGCCCCAACCCTCTCCCTAGCCCAGTGCTGGCTCCAAGGGGTACGTCCTCCTCACACCACCACCACCCCCTGGGCTGCGGCGTGGCCTCGCAGGGCACGGCTGCTCCTCTGCTCTCTCCAGACACCCTCGCCTCTGCAGCGAAGAGCCTCAGGATCAACGGGTCTCTCTTCTCTGCTGGCTGAGACCCGCATCCTTCCCTCCTTTCCGCATGCCGTGATTCACTCCTGCCAGGCTGGCTCGTGCCCTTGCTGAACTCCCCGATAACGAGTCCGGTATGATCTAAGTGCTGCAGAATTTACCACCGTGTCAGCACTTCATCTCCAAACCAGAGCTGGTAGAAAGGCATGGTCAGACGAAGCCAAGTGACAGGCCAGAACAGATGCATTGCATCTCCTGATTCAAACTCCTGCCCAAGTGAAAATCGGGGTCCCTGCGATGCCATCCCTCACGCAAACTTAAAAACACAAGAATGCAGAGGAACGGCGGGAGGGACTGCAAGCGCTCGCAGCCAGAGGAGAGGCCGGGGCTGCACCGCCCGGCTGAGGGACAGGGACCTAAGGACAGCTGTGCCCCAGGGGCAGCGCGACAGGAGGCAGGGAGCAGCGGAGCAATGGGGACAGCCCACCGTGAGCGGCGCGTGGGGGACTGAAGGGCTCGTGGGGCTCCTTTCACCCCGGTACCGCTGCTCTGTGCCACGCCTCAAAACAAAATTTCAAAAAGTTGAATTCACGCCTAGACAAACTGCAGGCCAGCCAAGCCCACCAGCACACAGCCCTCTTCCAGGCGCAGCAGGGAAGGCCCCATGGCTGGGGGTTTCAAATCCAGTGCAGAAAGCTTGGGAGAGACCCTGTGCTGGCACCTCTTGACTCCCACCAGGCAGCTCGAGCAGCAAACCACGCTTCCGGAG